GAGCAAAGGGGGGACGGGAGGGGATCGCCCCCCCACCCCCCCACCCCATAGGGGCTATAGGGGGGCTATGGGGCGGGATCAGCCCCCCCTAAGGGGCTATGGGGTGGGACCTGCCCCCCATAGGGGCTATAGGGGGGCTATGGGGCGGGATCTGTCCCCCATAGGGGTTATAGGGGGGCTATGGGGCGGGATCTGCCCCCCCTAAGGGGCTATGGGGTGGGATCTACCACCTATAGGGGCTATAGGGGGGCTATGGGGTGGAACCTGCCCCCTATAGGGGTTATAGAGGGGCTATGGGGCGGGATCTGCCCCCCATAGGGTCTATGGGGGGGACACAGGGTCTATGGGGCGTGACACGGTGTCCCCTTGTCCCCCCCCAGGACGAGTCCCCGTCGGTCCCCGACTTCCTGGAGGACGGTGACAGCAACGGGCCCTTCCCGCTGGAGGACCCCGAGGCCACCAGGTGGGGACGGGGACACGGGGGTGGGGACACGGGGCCCTCACACCCGGGGGTCACCCCGGCCACCGGGGATGTCCTGGGGGCCACCACGTTGTCCCCAAGGTGATGTTCCCACCTCCCCATGAGCAAGGTCCCCAAGACCGATGTCCCCAAGATGGTGTTCCCACCTCCCAGCATCTCCCTCCCCCCATGACCAAGGTCCCCAAGACCAACATCCCCCAGATGGTATCCCCAGGATGATGTTCCCACCTCCCAGCATCTCCCTCACCCCATGACCAAGGTCCCCAAGACCAACATCCCCCAGATGGTGTCCCCAGGATGACGTTCCCACCTCCCAGCATCTCCTTTGTCCCCAGACCAACATCCTTCACCCCAAAACCAACGTCCCCACCCCAGGGGACCACGTCCCCACGGATGCCACCACCGACCAACCCCACTTTCCTCCACAGCTTCCCACCGCCGCCACCCCCAGGACCAACCACCACCACCATGGAGCTACCACCGGGTGAGTCCTCCTCGCCGTGTTGGTGGCGTGGGTTGGGGAAACCGAGGCACGGGGCGACCTCTCTCTGCTGTCCCCTCGCAGGTGAGGAGGAGGAGGAAGAGGAGGAGGAGGAGGAGGTCCCCCGGCCCTACCGCTGCGGGGAGTGCGGCAAAGCCTTCGCCCAGAGCTCCAACCTCCTGAAGCACCGCCGGGTCCACACCGGGGAGCGTCCCTACCGCTGCGGCGACTGCGGCAAGGCCTTCGGCTGGAGCTCCTCCTTGCTGGAGCACCGCAAGGGCCACGCCGGCGCCAAGCCCCACGCCTGCGGCGAGTGCGGCAAGGCCTTCAGCCGAGGGTCCACCCTCCTGGAGCACCAACGGGTCCACACCGGCGAGAAGCCCTTCCGCTGCGGCCAATGCGGCGCCCGCTTCAGCCAGAGCTCCACCTTGGTCCACCACCGCCGGACCCACACCGGCGAGCGGCCCTACGGCTGCCCCGAGTGCGGCCGGGCTTTCGGCCGCAAGTCCACCTTGGCCACCCACCGCCGGACCCACACGGGCGAGCGGCCCTACGGTTGTCCCGAGTGCGGCCGCCGCTTCGCCGTCAGCTCCGACCTGGCCAAGCACCGCCGGGGGGCCCACGGCGGCCACCGCTGCCGGGATTGTGGCCAGCAGTTTGCCCGCCCGGCCGCCTTGGCCGGCCACCGGAAGAAGCACCATGGTGGTGGAGAAGGTGGTGGTGGTGGTGGAGAACGTGGTGAGGTTGGGCATGGTGGTGAGGATGGAGAAGGTGAGGATGGGCGTGGTGGTGATGGTGGTCAAGGTGGTGATGGTGGAGAACGCGTTGATGGTGGTCAACGCGTTGATAGTGGTCAAGGTGTTGATGGTGGAGAACATGTTGATGGTGCTCAAGGTGGTGATGGCGGACAAGGTGGTGAGGATGGAGAAGACGCCACCACCACCACCACCAAGGACGGCGATGGCGTTGAGCGCCCCCACCGCTGCGAGGAGGGC